TCCAGCACGGGGAGAAGCCTGAGCGCTCGAATGGCCAACACCACAGGGCTGACCACCGCAGGCACCGCGGGCTCCGTGGGGCTGATCCTGGCGGCCGTCGTGGAGGCGGCGGCCCTGCTGGGCAACGGCGCGCTGCTGGTCGTGGTGCTGCGCACGCCCGGCCTGCGCGACGCGCTCTACCTGGTGCACCTGTGCGTCGTGGACCTGCTGGCCGCCGCCTCCATCATGCCGCTGGGCCTGCTGGCCGCGCCGCCGCCCGGGCTGGGCCGGGTGCGCCTGGGCCCCGCGCCCTGCCGCGCCGCGCGCTTCCTCTCGGCCGCGCTCTTGCCGGCCTGCACGCTCGGCGTGGCCGCGCTCGGCCTGGCGCGCTGCCGCCTCATCGTGCACCCGCTGCGGCCCGGCGCGCGGCCCCCGCCCGCCCTGGTGCTCGCCGCCGTGTGGGCCGCGGCCGCGCTGCTGGGCGCGCTCGCCCTGCTCGGGCCGCCGCCCGCCCCGCCCCCCGCCCCGGCGCGCTGCTCGGTCCTGGCCGGGGGCCTCGGGCCCTTCCGGCCGCTCTGGGCGCTGCTGGCCTTCGCGCTGCCCGCCCTCCTGCTGCTCGGCGCCTACGGCAGCATCTTCCTCGTGGCGCGCCGCGCTGCCCTGCGGCCCCCGCGGCCCGCGCGCGGGGCCCGGCCGCGCTCCGACTCCCTGGACAGCCGCCTCTCCATCTTGCCGCCGCTCCCGCCGCGCCTGCCCGGGGGCAAAGCGGCCCTGGCCCCAGCGCTGGCCGTGGGCCAGTTCGCAGCCTGCTGGCTGCCTTACGGCTGCGCGTGCCTGGCGCCCGCGGCGCGGGTCGCGGCGGCCGAAGCAGCCGTCACCTGGGTGGCCTACTCGGCCTTCGCGGCCCAGCCCTTCCTCTACGGCCTGCTGCAGCGCCCGGTGCGCCGGGGGCTGGGCCGCCTAGCCCGCCGAGCGCTGCCCCGACCCCCGCGGGCCTGGCACCCGCGGGCACTCCTGCAGCACCTCCGGGGGCCTCCACTGCGCCCC